ATTATTATTATTGGGAGAAAAATAGAGCTTTACCAGGGAATCTTACACAGAGATGTATTCCTGTGCTGATGAAACCCTCTTTATTAATTCCAGGACTCAGTTCTCTATGTATAACATTTTCATCTGCCTTGGCTTTTAAGTAAATAGGGAAGTACAAATGCAAGAACTCAATCTCAGCTTTTATGGGTCAGTTGAGATTCCTGTTAGAGCCACAGAGTGCAGTGAATTCTATGATAAACCGTAAATGATCCTATTTCACTTTTACTAATACACACTGCATAGACACACATTACAGAAGCTGCATTTACACAAAAGGGAGATCAAATGTTAGGTGATTACTGAAGTTTATTAGATGACTAAGTAGATTTTTCTAGCCAAAATTACTAATAGTGAGAAAAGGGCTCCTTTAGGTTCTCCTTTCCCCAATAGGGTATATTTTTGGCAAATTTGTTTATTTCCTGAGAATTCTTTATTTTTCATTTATGCCTATTTTCAAAATATAAAAGCTCAGTAAAACATGTTGCTTCTGTTTCTTTATTTTGAATGAAAAATCAGCATAAAAAGAAAATAATTTGACTGGAAACTTTTTGACTTCCTTGGGATCATGCTTTAAGTACTTAAACATTTTTACAACTAATATAATAAGGTTTGTGCATCATAAGTTTTACTGAAGTTTTCAGCACTCTCATGAAATTTTCATTATGCTAGCATTGACAGTTCTCTTCAAATATTATCAATCTATACGTAACATCCATTTTAGCAACATTTGTTTCCTTTGAAAAACTATATTGAAAAGGAAGTTGACATATTTTCTGAATCATATTTTTTTCCTCCCAACCTGGAAATCTCAATCTGGTAGTCACTTAATTGTTGAGAAAAATGTTACATCCGCCAAAACCTGGGGAGGGAGAGGAGCAGTCAGAGGACTGAGAGAAGAGTTCCTACCACGAGAAGAATGGACCACTCACAAATTCTGCAGAGTTGCTGTGCTTCAAGTGAAAAGACCAGCTTTTTTGTGATTAATCATATACCACAGCTGAGCCAGTAATAAATCATCCTAGCTCTTGGACAGCAGAAATTGTGGGATTTCACATTCTAAAGACCATTGGTGTACTCTCGTCAGTGACTCTGCAAACTATCATTGACACACCACCCTTCTTCTCATCTCCCATTCCTTTTATTTGTTTATTGGTGTGTTTTCCTGTTTTTAATTTTTTCATTAGTAAAACTAAAAAAATTAGAAGATGGAGTAAATGAGAAGGCTATGGTTTCTTTTAGTCATTCATACCTGTCTTCATCCATCTCACTTCTGTCTTAATGATTTAACTTTGGAAACAGAGTAAATCTACTTCAGCCTAACAAAGGACAATTTCAGCTTTATCTGCCACTTGTAAAATTCATATTCCATGCGGCTCCTGGATTATTGGGGAAGAGATTAGGTTAAGATTCCGATTTCCCTTATAATTTTCTATTGAGATGATTCCAATTGCAAGTCTCCAATGTTCCACTATGAGAAAGTAGAATCTATAAACAGTTTGCTAGGCAGCCTAAGAAAATCCTTTTGCTCAGGATGCATATGTAGCTGTATATATGAAAATGCGCATCATGAAAAGAATGTATGCAACAAGAATGTATTTCTATACTTTAGAATTAATGTTCAAACTTTAATTGTAAAATTGGGTATTTTACACTGATTTCAATAGATTTAATAAAAACAAAGAGGAAGTAAATCTAATTAATATAAGTAGTTTTATACTACATTCTAATATATTCATTTATTTTCCTTGTCTGAGACATTTTTTTGAATGTGGCCTTTAGTGTTCTACTCATAACCCAAGGCAGCCGGTCCATGAAAACCTGTATCTTGCTCTATATAAAATCTAATATTAATAGAATATAAAGAACATCTTGACATTACAACTTGCATTTTGATTTTCTCTCCATGCAAAATTTTTAAATAGAGTAAATATGTAAATCAGATATTACTTTCATTTCATTTTTAAGGTCCTTTCACTTCATTTGCTCTAGAAACATAAAGACATAAAATCTTGTTTAACCACTCAGCAGTTAGAAACTTTGAAAAGACTGAAGGAATAATTTGAAGAAAACAGAGGCATTTTCATTAGTAGAATGTCTCGTGTATCATCTTCATTATGTAATTAATAAGTCCAGGTGCTGATGACATGGCTACAGAATACAATTTTACAGGAAACAATGAAATGGAATTGGTATTTCCAGGACCATAACACTTGAAATGTTGAAGTAATAATGATACTATGTACATGGATATTTAAATACCACTGCACACATTTGAGGAAAGTATTGAATTTTGTATATATGTCTGGAGAATACAGCTTTACTCCTGATAATATTCCCAAAATAAAGACCACAGAATAGTTTCAGTTGCAGATGGTAGGGAGAAAGTAAGAAAGAACAAAATGAATGTCATGCTTTTGCATTTTTAAAGTCCAGCACCAACTGTACTGCTTTGCTTCAGTTTGGATATGGAAGTCATATTAAGTTTTGACCAGCGTTCTCTGTCCTTTCCACACTTTCTATTTGGAATAGATTTATGGGAAAATGGTTTTTGTTTTCATAGTGAAAATTTATGAATTCTGGGGACACACAAACACATATTAATTGGATTGTTTTAGTTGTAAGCCAAGTCCAGAATTATTATTATAGGTGGAAGATGTAATGAACAAAAGCCAAAACATGGTATGTTAGTTCAGTCTTGGCAAGAAATAATCCAGTTGGTCTATGTTGTTTCAGAAGCAAAATCAAAGTTGCCTCGCCATCCTTTCATATCTGAATTCCAATTTTAAGTATGGAACAGTATAAAATTAAACATGGATATATGTCAGCACAAGATTTTAGTTTACAGTGACTAATCAGCCTTGTCCTTTATTTGATACAGCTCAGTATTCATAGCTTTAAGAACTGCTTCCTTTAATTTTGAGGCTTGCCATTATATAGTGGGAGGGAAAGGGAAGCTTTTGTCAAAGCAGCTTTGTTGCTTGTATCAGCAGATCAAAACGCTGGAAAAAACCCCAGAAGAGCAGCAATACTACTTGGCTATCAAGCTGTTTATCTTGGCAATTGGCTTGGAACCACATTCAAAAACTGTCTGACTATTTCTCCAGTACAGTCTACTTTTCAGCAGTGTAGGAGGTAAAGCTCAAGAGGTTTTGCTTTTGGTTTTCCTGTTGTTGTTTTTTTTTTTAATAGGAAGTTTGGGGAACATTGAAGTTGTTCCTAAGTAATATTTTCAGTGTTGGAATGAGTGAAATTAAGGCAAGGTTTATGCATTCATGTAATATTAATCCGTACATGTAAGAATTGATAGTAATTTTGGATAAATCACTTATGCCCAGCCTAAGCTTTCGGGATGCACCAACCTACAGCTGCTACAATTCTTAGCCTGCATGACCACTGACACCTCCAAAAGGGAACAACTTGAGAAGCACAAGGCTGCTACAGACATATGTATCATTCCAATGCAAGACAGACTTCTACAGCTAGAGCAAGAGCAAGCTGGGTGGTGCCTATAAGTCATCAACATGCCCAGATTCTTTCTTTGGTGCCCAGAAGTTCTGTGCCTTACATAATTATATTTTCTAAATATGTGCATGTGCGTGTGTGTGTGTGTGTGTGTGTGTGTGTATGTAATTGGGATCGGGTCATCCATGCAGGGAAAGGAGAAGGAAAGACAACTTTTTGAGAGACTGGGGCAGGGGTAGGCAACCTCAGCTCTTTTATGACTCATGGACTTCAACTCCCAGAGTTCGAAGGAACTCTGGGAGTTGAAGTCTATGAGTCATAAAAGAGCCGAGGTTGCCTACCCCTGGACTGGGGGATAGATAATGTATCTCCCTAAGTTTGATTTTTTACATACATTGAATCTTTGTGGCTACCCAGAATCGCACTGGCTGCTATGTTCTCACACAATTTATTCTGAAACATCCATATGTTCCTACTGGCAGTACTTAGAATACACCACTGTTTTCTTCAGAAGAGCTTATTAGCTCTTCCCAATAAGCCTTCTTGGAAACAGAGAGACGTAAGAAATGTCCTCTTATTCCTCTTATTTGTCCTCTCCATGTGGCTGCTCTCTTTCATTTATGGTGCCAAGTGTGACTCAAACACTTTGCTTCCCTATTCAGGAATAACCCTAACTTAATTCAGGGAAACAGTCAAATTGCAGTTCAAGGTATTTAAGCTCTTCACCTCTATTTTTTTTTTTTAGATATTTCTATCCCATCTTTATTATTTTTACAAATTCCATTAAAGGAGTGGAAATTACTTCCAAATGAACAGATTCAGGACTGTTCTCTGTGGTTCATAAATATGCCAAGTAGCACAACTTCATGCTATAAATGTTTACTCTTATATTGGACAAATAGTGGAATTAAGTTCAATTTTTTAAATGTAAATATTGCTTCTTCAGAAACTTTGCCTCAAATTCCAATATTTTTCTTCCTAGATATTTGATAGAGAATTGTTAAGGGATTTATAAGCATAAAGTAAACCGTTTGTGGATGCTCTATTAGAATATTTTAACAATTATTATGTGGCATTCTGTAGATAATCCATACTACAGACAGAGCAACAAACAGCCATGCAAAACCTCAATTATAGCCCTGAATGTCTTCTAGATCATTGCCTGAAAATATGAATAAATGCTTATAAAGATGGAACCTACTGATATAACAAAAGCAGTAATAAGGAAGTACTAAAATTCACTCCAAAGAAAAGCCATGATGAGGAAAAGGAATTTACTCTTTCTTTCCTCACCTAGCTAAAAATGTCAAGCTTAGATAGTAACCAGTGGCCTGCCACTGACACATCGTTGTGCCATACTAATTCCATAAGGCTAATTGTTGTTTACAAGAGAAACATTTCATTAAAAAAAGCGTAAAAACTTAAAGCATTGTCCCCATGTTGTTTTTATAAAATCAAAACCATGCTTAACACATTTAAAGTAATCAATGAAAAATATAAATGTTTAAAGGTATTTATCAAATAAAAATAGAAATATGAACTTCTTCATGTGAATAAGGCTCAGTCACATAACTGTGCACTATCTTTCTTTCTTCAAATCAGCATTGTATTATTCAAACCTCAGCTCACAAGCTTTGGCAACACTGTTCTCTGCTGAATATTCCCATTGGCATCCGTCATCTGTGCCAAATTAGTCCTCAGTTTTGAAGCTGAGTTTGAAGTTGGAGGTAACTTGGAAATGGATGTGATAGCACCAGTGCTTTCTGTTATTCTCTTTGCTGATGGCTTCTCCCCAGTTGGCGGCTTTGGCAAACGTCTCCTGAGCCAGGGATGCCGTAAAGCCTGACTGGGTGTCATACGCAGCATTGGATCCCACTCTAAACATTGTTTCAAGAAGTCAAGGAAGAGCGGATCATCACATCCTTTCAATGCATTCCCCCATTCTCTGCTCTCTGGGGGACCACGCAATTTGCCCCGCCTGGAGCGGCCACCGTTAAGCACAACAGAACCATCTGACAAGGTAGTAATGGAACAATATCGGGGGTAACCCTTGGAGCTCACAAAATTTTTTGCTCTTTTTGATGAATCCAGTAGTTTCTGGGAAGGCATGCCCAAGAGTTCTATCATACAAGCCAGCTGATCTCCTTCATCTTCTCCTGGTAAGAGAGGGTATCCTGTTAAGAGTTCAGCAAGAATGCAGCCCAGGCTCCACATGTCTATTGGCATCCCATATCGAGCACCAAGGATGACTTCAGGAGCACGGTAAAAACGCGACTGGATATATGTATAGACGCGCTGGTGCTCGTAACAGCTAGAGCCAAAATCAATCACTTTAATACCACTCCTACCCTGTTGTTTTAACAGAATGTTTTCTGGTTTAAGGTCACAGTGAATTATTCTGTTTTTGTGCAAAGCATCCAAGCACTGCAAAATGGAGTGGGCAAATTTACGAACCAAAAGCAGGCTAAAGCCCTGAAATTTATTTTTCTTAATGAGCTCATAAAGGTTCATGCTCAGCAACTCAAATGTCATACATATATGGTTGCGGAATGTGAAGTTCTCCAGCATGTGTATAACATTCATGTTATTATCTTTGTCCTGTTTTTTAAGGTGCTCCAGAATTTTAATCTCTTCTGCAGCTTGGCGGTGAAAACGCTTCTCATTTCTCACCATCTTCAGAGCAATATGTTGATTCATCTTGTGATCATATGCCTTTACCACTTGTCCAAAACTTCCTTTTCCTATAACTTTAAGAACTTCATATCTGTATGCTATATGATCATGGGGTATTTGCACATAAGATCCCTGGTCATCATCATATCCACAGTTGTTTGGACCACTAATGACACCTTGCCTTTTCTTTGCATTTGGACCCAAGAAATATATTTCAGGGTAACTGAAGATCTCATGATGCTCAAAGGCTGTTAGCTTGTGCACGTATTGCTTCGTTGCTTGCTCAGGAGTCATGAGAGTAGCTTTTGTCTTTCCTGGTCCTTCAGTAGATTTCACGGAGTTGGAGCTCCCCTGACGCCTATGACAGCTCTCGAGCTGTCTATCTTGTACCACTGGCAGCCCTGATTTTGCTACTGTTGCAAGCCCATTTGGTTGTGTGGATAGAACTGTCCTTTTGTTGCTATTATCTTCAAAGAGCTGTTGGACCTGCCCATGACTGGTAACATGTAGATGCTCATTCATGGTGTGCTTATTTCCACCAACCTAAAATACAAAGCATGATTTTCTAGTTAAAAAACTGCAGGCTGATAATAGTTTCCCAAATTCTATGAAAAAATAAGATTAAATGAGTTCAGGATTTATATGACTTACATATCCTTCTCTTTCCTAAACTGTACATTGAGACCATTAATGATCCAGATCACCAGTGGAATTCTTCTGCTAGAGGAAGACAACTCTGTGTGACCACTCAAAAGCATGTCTAGGGTCACAGAACATTCCAAAACAGTAATGGGTATTACTTTTGGAAGAATTGTCTGCATCACTTTATACTGAAATTTTCTTAGGAATTTCAAATAGTTCCCAATCTTTTTCATATTAATAAATTATAAATCTAGATGCAATCCAGTATATTTCAAATATCTTATGCACTGGCTTGGTCTCCCATGGTCCTTTTCTCATACTTGGCTATGTAATATCACATTATTAGTAATTCATTGGAAAATTTAACATTAACATTTTTTGCTTCAGTAAAAATAATCCAAAATAACTCTAATTATGAATTCTACAGAACTATTAAATAAAAATATAGTTTTAACAATGAATAGTGAACTCAATTTTCTTTTCAAGTCATTACTGAATATGCTAATTCATAAATCTATTTGTCCATTAATTAATCCAGATAGAGATAGATGATAAGACAGTTTAAAACACTTGTTCACAAAATGCATTCTGTATTTATAACCACCTTTCAGCTAAAAGAAATTTCATACTTAAATTTGCGTTTTAGTGCATTTTGGTGCTGTTTTAAGTATGAAAACTGCATCATAACATTCACTGAAACAAGAAATTAGAAAAATCACTGTGCACATTTTAGTTCAGAAGTTTCAAATCAGGTTAGTTTACATCAGAAATAACAGCATTCTGGCATACTCCTCCCCCAAGTGGCTGCTGAATGGTAAGGAAATTTTTCTCTATTGCTGACAATCTCTTGATTTTGCTGCCAAAGCTGCATCTTTGGCAGCATTGTTCCCTGGATATGAATGGGAAGACTTAGGAATGACCCAAGATGATTTTTGGATGGCAGTGGACCCCCCCCCCAGGAAGAGGAATCTTGAAACTGTAGTTCCTGTGGATGCAGCCATAAAGTCACCAGTCACTTATCCATCTTTTCTTCAGCAAATCATTCTCGTAAGCAAATCTGGGTTAAGTATACTTTTTGAAGTTTTTGTTTGATTCTGCTTTTTATCGTTAAAAGTTAACTGGTTGCATGCTGATTTATTTTAACCACCTGCTGGATTTTATTTGTGGTTTTTTATTGTTATCTTTATCCTTTGATTTATTTGGTTACACTGAATGACTCGTCTCCATAAGGAAATCACATGGTGTTTATGGGTAATGAAGATGCTTGGACCTGATTTATATTTATATTGGACTTTCACTACAGGAATTTTGCATTTTATTAACTTGCAAAAAGTTTTGAGATTTTTTTTTTAAGTCTTGGCTCAAAATTTCCAAAAATATCCTCCCTGTTTTTCTATTTATATTTTCACTCTGAGTAATATTACTTCAATTTTTTATGTTCTCTGTCTCTGAAGACTCCTCTTATCTTTCTCTGCTAATTTCCATGAGAGCAACAACATATCAGATTACAGACAAGGAAAGCTGGCTGGAATTTGAAAAAAGATTGGTAACATACAAATTCAAATTGAAAATTTCTTTAAAAAGTTTGACAATTTAATAATGGTTGAAAAAAATATCAGTTGCAAGTAACTGTAGATGAAGCAGATTCACAAAAGGATTTGATCTGAAAATGGTAGATTCGGAGAAGACTGAAAAGATATGGATTTTACAGACTTAGAACTGAGTGGATTGCACATGCCTTCCCAAAATTCAGGCCTATAAACTTTGAGAACCGATTTATTTTTTTAACCAAACAATTGTTAAGAGAAGATATTAAGAAACAAAACTGATACTTTAGCCAGGACAAATTAGTGTTAATTGTTGGGTTGATTTGGGATAGATAAGAAGCAGTGGTAAATTTTCTATGAGTTGAACATAGTAATAGTTTGTTAACAGAGGTTTTGAAATTTTACTCTTGCCTTTTTTTGTTGCTCTATCTGTTAACTATTTTTCATTAATATGGTAGATAGATGACAGGTTAATAATTTGCAAATAGAAGTTTAAAAATTTGGGGGGCCTGTTTAGCAGGGGTGGGAAACTCCTATTGTTGCAATATACTTATCAGTATTCAACTAGGGAGGATGTGTTTGTGTTTTTTTTATAATGCATCTTTTTTGTTTAATGTCTTATCTGTTTTGTTTTTAGTTTTTTAATTTTTTTTATTTTCTCTCTTTTGGAGTTGTGTATTTTAACTTTTCTTGAATAGAATAAAAATTACATGGATAAAAAAAATAACAGTATTCTAATTCCTTAACCTTTCTTTTTTAAAACATCTACTTCTTTATATTATAGATGTCCATTTTTGCCACAATTCAATATTTCTTGCCATTTCTGAACTATTAATCTGATTTTCCTCAATTTAACTCTCCCAGAACCACAACTTTATTTTGTCAAGCTGACTGGGAATTTGCAGAATAATTCTTAAGACGAAAATCCTAATCTATAAAAATCAGATGGCTTATAATGCCTTCCCCTATAATACGTTAAAAAAAATCAAGGTGGTACCCTTGCATTGCTATTACAATCATATTATAGCATCCATATATATAGCATCCAGTAAATAATATAAGTTTGTAATTTTTTCAAATAATTCCCTATTTCTTCCCACTAAAGTTTTCCAAAAGCAGCATAACACCTGAAATCTTAGAAATTAAAAAGATAATGTTATGCTGACATTATTTTATAAGGACAAAATGGGAACTAGCTTCCAATGTGCTCAGACTGCCATATGAAACATAGAATCACATATTATGTGATGAATATCCCACCATCCCTATGAGCCTTGGCTGATGACTAACATAGGTATATCTTGTGCATTATATACAGCTGAGTTTATAAATTACCTGTAATCCCCTTATACCAGGACTCTCTTCTATGCCAAACTGTACCTCTATTACAGACATGTCAAACACAAGGCCTGGGGGCTGGATGCGGCCCATGAAGTGGTTTGATGTGGCCCACGAAGCCATCCTGGAAACAGTGAGGGAATGGCCCCCTCTGCCTTGGCCCTGGCTGGCTGGGAGCCAAAGTACAATTTTGTGGTGGCCATCTATGCTGAAATGCATTCAGTCTTAGCTCCAAAAGGCCGTCTGGAAACAGCGAGGAACCAGGAGAACCTTGAGCAGCAGCCTTGAGTAAGTGGGGCTGGGCTTGGTGCCGCGGTGCTCAAGGGCCAGGCTGGGCATTTGACCTCTGCTGCCCGCACCACCATTCAGCCCCCCCGCATGGCCTGAGAGGAACAGTGAGGCTCCTCCAGTGGACCATGCCTTGGCACTTGCCCTGGTCCCACCCCCTTCGGCCAGAGTCCCTCAGATCTGTCCCACTCCTGCCCAGGCCCCCATAGGCACCCTTGTCGCGAACGATGTAGAGCTGGCCACGCCCACCTAGTAGGCCACACCCACTTCATCCACGCCCACCCAGTAGGCCGCATCCACCCTGGCCACACCCACCCGGCCCCTGAGGGCAACCACAATGCTGATGTGTCCCTCAATGAAATTGAGTTTGACACCCCTGCTCTATTATTACAAATATTAAGAGATACTAACTGCTGTTTTTGGAATTTCTGTTATGAATGTTTCACCTGCTAGTAAGAACATCAGTTCTACTAGAAGCTGCAGGAAGTGAAGGCTTGGCTGGTGCAGCTCTCATTCATAGGCAAAGTTCAATGTCACTATATATGGTTTTGGCAGCGGTTTACTCTCCAAGCTTGTTTCAATATAGTTTTGTTACCAAACTAGGTAACATCACCAGCAGCATTCCTTGTCCTATTCTCCTTAGCTTATAAATGTCTTGTGTGCCAGTCTGGTCAGTTGGTCATGCAATTTGTTGTTTGTCTGGAGATATATTTAAATCCTGAGCAGCTAATTGGTTCTCTTGCCGATTGGTAGTTCGAATGGTCTCGTTTCTTACATATTCATAAGCTGGATCTAGATCAATATGCTTGTTAATTACTCCTTTGATAGAATAGCAGGCCTCAATAAATTCATGTATGTGGTGGGTGCTGGCATGCTCAATGATTTATGTTCCTTCCCAATCAAATTGGTGTAGTTCAGGGGTCTGCAACCTTAAACACTCAAAGAGCCACTTGACAGTTTCCCAGAGAAAAGAAAACACTGGGAGCCTTTTGCATATGTGGGGGGGGGGAACTTGATTGAAGAGTTTAATTAAAAAGAAACAGAGGCTGCTGTGCATGAATTCTCACTCTCTTTCCTCTCCCTCTCTCTCTTCTCTCCTCTTTCCTCTCCCCCCTTTCTCTCTCCCTCTCTCTCCCTTTTTCTTTTTCTCTCTCCCTCTTTTTTCGCTCCCTCTTTTTCTCCCTTTCCTCTCCCTTTCTCCCTCTTTTTCTTTCTCCCTTTTTCTCTTTTTTTCTGTCCCTCTTTCTCCCCCTTTCCTCTCCCCGCTCTCCCCTCTTTCCTCTCTCCCCTTTCTCTCTCCCTCTCTCCTCTTTCTCTCTCTCTCTCCCTCTCTCTCTCCTCTCCCTCTCTCTCTTTCTCTCTCCCCCCTCTCCCTCCTTCTCTCCGATCTTCAGCTCATCTAGCAAGCTGGCCTCAAGCTGTTCTTCAACAGGCTGGCTCTCTCCTGCCCTTCCTGCTGAGATGCAGCCAAGGCAGGAGCCCCACCCAATAAGCTTGTCAGCTCGTCGGAGAACATGGTGAGGCCACTCTCTTTTTTTTATACACACACACAGACACACATACAGAGAGAGAGAGAGAGAGAGAGAGAGAGAGAGAGAGAGAGAAAGGGGGGAGAGGAAAGGGAAAGAGAGAGAGAGAGAGAGAGGGAGAGGGAGAGAGAGAGAAGGGAAGTGCAAATGCCTCTCTCTGTCTCTGTCTCTCTCTGCAAATGGCAGAGGAGGCTGGGAA